AGTTCATTCGGTTGCCTCTTAGAAATTTGCATCTAGTTTTCACCTTCCAGTTGCAAAAGGCTATCGGGCCAGCGAAGAGTTAATATTTTAACCGGACGCGAATTCCCTCGAATGAAGGCGTAAAGTGCACACCGGAAGTGACCGCGATATTACTGGAAATTTCGTTTGGACTCGACCTCGACCCCGGTATTTTACGGCAGAAATCCCTCGCAAAGAAGCGTTGAAGAGGGTCGTCGCGAGAAGAATGAACGGCCGGTTTTCAGTTCGAATTTTTGCGAATAGCGCAGAAATACGAGTTCCTCTACCGTAGCTGCTTCTAACTAGCCAGCCTCGGCCATTCCAACTCCCTCGACGCGACTCGTGCAACCGGATAAAACGGAAAAGCTGGCCGGTTTGCCTGTGCTCGTCTCGGCCACGTCCCATCAAAAACAGCACCGTGAAATTAGCGCGTTCCACTATCTTTATGTCGGTTTCGTTTTTCGCGGAAACCGATCGACGGAATTTTTCTGCCGGCATTTTTTCGCTCGTTTTTCGAAAGAATTTCTGGTATTTTCGATATCCGAACTACACCGTAGAGTGATTTGGTTCGACGAAGCGAACACGAAACACAAAACAAAGCATTATTCTACGAGGTTTTATTTTTGCTAGAATTCGTTCTCAGATTGTACACATATAGTCACGAATGAGTTTACCATTGTGCGAATTTTTTTCAATGTTTCAATGCTACGATAAAATTGCTTTATCGTTCTTTGGAGAACATGGTTCTTTGTTCGAATAAAAAATTGTTTAGGTACAGGGTCGAAATATTTTTCAATGTACCTTCCTGTTCAATTAAACACGCTTTTTCAACAATGATTTCGGTTCTGGGAAGCTCATGCATTAGCGCAATATTGGAATACCTTTCCATGCATGAAATTTAACTCCCTAATTCCCTCTCGGCAAAATCGCTCTTTCAGAGATTTTAGAGTGCTCCACGAAAGATGGAGCGTGCACAGACAGAAAAAAATCGCAGCATAGACGCAGGAAGACGAGAGAGGAAATCCTTTCGCCTTCGAAGCGTTTCTGAACGCACTTCGTGGAAACTAGCTTGTATTACTGCTAGCCGCTCGACACCTGGGTTCCAAGCCGTCTGGCCACGAGAGATCCACGCAAATCCCGGTGAATCGAATCGATATCCTGTTGGATACAACGGCCAAGTATGGACCACCGACCAATTTCCTCGGGACTGTTTGCGATTTTTCACTTTGCACGTCCCCCGTCTAACGATAATCTAGAGACTGCCCAAGGGGAAAACGTCAGCGTATATTCGGACGGCAGGGAAATAACGTCGCGCAAGTGAACGATGTAAGAACCACAGATGTCTGGTTTTTGTTTATCGAATAAAGATGTTCTAGCAAAGGGAAACGTTGCTTCTCTGCCCGAAGTTTGTTTCGTTTATTCGCGGCGCGTTTATCGGATTTTCTTAGAATGAATATTCAAAGTTTGCTAATGAAAACGGTATTACTCGAGACCGTTTCTCTTGGCAATTTAATAGAATCCGCGAAATGTAGACATTACGCAATCGCGGAACGTAATACTTATACATTTTAATGTATCATAAAGCACGAATAAATTCTTTCGAGACTGACAGCATCGACTCCTTTCTCCCCGAATCCTCGATACCCTCCTCGATACGCTGAAGGCTGTCGACGTTACATACCGCAGAGATGTTCAAGGATATTTTCTTATACGACGGTTATCTAAACGACTCTTGTATGCTCGTTTAGAGCTATCGATAACTCAACATTTACGGATAATACGGGCATCTCTTTAAATCTTTTGTTTCACCTTGTTGCTCCGGGCTAGTATCGTCTTATCCGAAGCAACTGTTTGTATTTCCAATATTTCCCCACGCGGCGTCGGTGGATGAAACCGTAGGAGACAGTTTATCCTTTAAAGTTTATCCTGCGCTCGTTTCCCAGCGAGAAACAATGATTCTTCTTCGCTTCTTCCTTTACGAGCCGGGAAATCGATTCGGAATACCGTGTACCGATGCTAACCGCAAAATCGCCTGCTTGCTCGGCGTACTTTGAACAGAGTGAGCATTAAAGCTTTCATCGAAACCTGTAACATTGTATCGGACCACTTTGAAAACGATACGCTTTAGTAACCGATTAGAAATATTCTAAATTATTATACTTTCAAATTTAGCATTCAGATCGGTGTACGTAAAATTCGAGACACGAAGATTGCATCGTAATCTAGTCGAATAAACGTTAACGTTAAAGCGAAGATATGCAGGAACGATACGGGTAAACAATATCTAAGGTATATACGATGCGGAAACGGAGAATGTAATGGAGAGTCGAATGATACGGTACAGGTTTCAATAAAGTTCGATTGAAGGCTCGCGGTGGCAGGTATATGTTACTTTATCCGATCAAGTATTTGCTCGAGGAAAGATGCTGTACAAAGAGAAGAATATCAGTGTTTAAAGATTGGATTGATCCGTGTAAGATTCAATATTGACGATGAGTAAGATACCCCTCGATCAACAAATTCAATGTGTTTACAACCTCTATGGCTTTATAACTCTTTACCAAAATCGACCAACCGAATCAACTAAAATTTTTATCGAAATAATTTTAGCGGATAAGTCCAAGTTCTCTTCATCGCCGTTGATAGACTATTGGTATCGAAATGAAGGAAAAGATGCAAAAAGGAGTAAACAGGGAGAGAGTTAATGGTTAAACGTCGAGATCTAACGACAAAACGAAACGAGATATATTTACGTGGGTGCCATATGGTTGAGCATGGCAAAACAGTTCTTAAAACGACGCTCGTAAATTTCGGTAAACGGCCTCGCTGGAATTTATATTCCACGTATAGCAAAGGACAGGCGCAGCGGTGTCCCTCTGTGTGCAGTTATGTCGGTATGCGGCGTAACCTATATAACTTCCGGTATCAAGCGTCCACGGATGCTCGTTACCGTGCAGAAGACGCATTTCGTCCTGGGTTTCAGTAACGTGGTCGGCTCTAATTGAGAAAAATTGTTACAACGTCGCTCGGACAAAAGCTGCGAAACAGTTTCGAAGTTTTCTTTGCTCGTGCCAAACTGTATTCTTTGCGAAATTTACAACACCGCCTAAATTAATTTACTTTGACAAACCTCGGACGCGTCTCTGCTTTACATAATGAAACAATTAACCCTTTATATGCATTCGCGATGATACAAAAATGATTTCTCGAAACGAAAATTATTGCATCAGAGGAACGGCGTAATTCAAGCCTTTGAAGTATTTTTACGCCTTCAACAACTCGATCATTCAAATGAAAGCTACGAAATTCTCGTTCTCCGATCGTTTCGTTTAAACGTGCGCCAGCCTGTTTGGCCAGCTCGATGTTTCGAGCGGACAAAAGCGGATATAGAAGGTCCTGACAGGCTCGCGAGGTCAGCCAATAAGTCTGAGAGGATTCGATCACGCCCCGTTCGCGTTTTCCACGTTCCGCTCGATAAGACCGCACAAACGAACCCGATGACCCGTCCCTGTTGGCCAACGATTATTTTTCTCCCTCTTGGCAGCTTGTCGGGTTCGTTAAGCGACGACAATACGCTTTATTTTCCTCGTTCGCCACTTTTCGCTTTCGTCTTCGTGACACGTGCGTTTGTGAAAAATGCCAAGTGTTGACCCCTTTAGCAGATACAAGGATAATTGGTTAAATCCTCTCTACTACTCTCAATCCCAAGCGAAGACCCCAAACCCAAAGTGTACTTGTTAACGATTTCGGATATAATTCCATGTTAAAATTTATCTACGAACTCGGTATAATAAACCCCGATAAAAAGAGAGGTGAATTAGAGAAAGTTTTAATACGGTTTGGCCAAATTGAACGCTACAGAAGTATACACGGGTATCGACACACGGGGGCTGGTCGTAACAGGCTACGCTTACAATAGGCGATTAATTGCTCGAATCCAGGCGGCGAACAACTCCTCGTTGCTCGAACAAAGTGTCAGAGCTCCGACAAAACGTGTATGTAAATGGAAGAACTGATGGTAGTGCAGAGGTCAGGGCGGAATGACGGCTCTATTCTGGAGGGTTGCTGCTCCTTGTACTCATTTATGATCTTATGCAACGTGCGCGCAATATTATATCTCTGTGGTCGCGTGGCGATGCATATTAAACGGTTCACTCTTATCCGATGGAGTCACCGCGTCGAGCGTGATCGGTATTTCGTTCGCGTATGCTTTCGAAGGGCTGTTTTCTTCGCGATAGACTATCGGTACGGATTTTAGAAATTGCGCGGTTCCAGCGTGTACTTTACATTTATCGAGGTTTTATTTTTCAGAAGGTTTAATAAGAGAGTTTGATAGAAAATTTATTTAGATAAAGTTCGACATAAAAGTAGTTCGTATTTCGATCTGGTTTAGAAATAATTATGACGAAGTATGTAATTGCAACACTTCGAACATTTCTGCTTTATTCGTGGAAAGTTTTTTACAACTCCTCAGACGGTTTTATACATCTTCAGAAACTTTAACGTAATCGCGGCTAAGAGCTTCAAGTTTTTATAATCAAAAGCGCTCCAGGTGATTTTCTTGTTAGAGAGAAATATATAGGTACGAGATGAAAGTTAAGGCGTGACTTGCCTTCTGGTGACTTTCACACCTCGCCGCGAATTTTTTGCCCTGAACGTGTGCCTGGTAATATTTGCAAAATTGTGGAAGCCCTTATTATTAAGCGAAAGGAGCAGCGTTTTTGAGCGAACCTTTCGTCGAGGAAAATTACCAAACAACCTAAATAGAAGTTATACCAGCGAAATCTACTTAGCCATTTCGTAGATACTTAGATAATTTTAAGCACCCGGTAACAGAGTTGTTAAATATTATTACAAGCTGAATCTCTGGTAGGCTGCTCGGAAACAATCTCGACATACCGCGGAGCGACTTGAACGAAGATAACGAAGCACAGCGTTAAATCAGTTTAAACCACGGTTGAAACTTGGAAATTTGTTTTCAGATGTTCCTGATCCACCGGAAAGGCCTCTCTTAACAAACCTTACATCGAGGTCCGTGAATTTATCCTGGGCACCGAGTGCAAATTCTCATAACAATCCGATCTTGCACTACGTCATCGAAACTCGGTAAGTCCTTTAAATATTGATTTTACCCTTTTCCGCTCGATGTAAAGCCCGTTTTCAATTACACTTCGCGTATTGTGATGAAAATTCGGCGCCGTGCTTTGGATCGAGGCCCGAGGAAAATTAATCTGCCAAAAGCAGAGGACCACGAAACAGCTCGTTCTCCATTAAATTCGTTGTTTGTCCGTCCCATCTTCCTTTTTCCTATTTCGTTTAACTTTTCGCCGCCGAATCTCGGTAATTGCGTTGCTCGGGGGCTTATCGCGAAAATTCTTGATTATCTCATCTACTTAGTACCTCATTGACACTGGAGTATTCTCCGATTAAAATAAAAATCTTAGTCGCACCTGTAAAAGGTATATTACAAGTTGCTAGTTGTAGGGTCACGACGACGTGCAAAAGAAGGGGCACGTTTCAAAATAGCCGGCTGCATTCGAGTACGGCCCGGTCTGATTATCTTTCAGATACAAGCTACGAGTTCGAGGCTTTAGCCGGTGGAACGGGAAACGGATAAAATAAAAGGAGTTACTAGGGATAAGAAGTGCGGTGTCGATAAGCACCCTTTGTTCTCCCTCGCTTCCCCAGAGACCTGTTATCTTCTCCCCTTTCTTTCGCTCTGTCCATTTCTTCCGTCTATCCCTTACACATCTTTCTTCCTCCTTAGCTTTCCCTTTTCGTTCCACGTACGGATGACCTGGAACTCGCTCGTTGCTCCGTGAGTTCCTCCCGATTTCCCACCGAGAAATTCGCTATCGACATTTCCGAGTGGCACGTATATCGAATGACCACTCGCGAACGTTGCGCGGAGATGCAGGAAAATGCGCAGAAGGCGGTCGAAATGGTAGAGAAATTCCTTTCCGCCTTTTCTTCTCTTTCTTGCCCTTCTCTGTTTACCCGCTTCTTTCCTCTTGCTCTCTTTGTCGAGCCGTACTCGTGTCTCCGTCGACCGTTTTTGCTAGTAACTCATTCGGTTTGTCGATAGCTTTTGTCGCGCCAACTGCGAGAAGGGTGCTTGGTCGTTACCATAACTTTTATCGAGTAACCGCTCGTAAATCGCGATCACGCTGGCAACGTATTGTAAATAACGTCGCTTTAATTCAATTTTCTACACGGGTTTCCATTTCGTACGGAACGTGGACACAATTACGATTGCGTCGCTGAAGATGACGAACCGTTACGGTTTCTCGACTGGACACGCGCGTGCCGCAACCTCCGGCGATTTAACGCGTGGAGTTAGGACAGACGGTGATACAAGTACTGCGGAGTTGCAACGCGTACACCGAAAACGCCTGACAGTGCGATATACGACGATCCAGCGGTAATACAACACGCGACTATTAAAACCTTCGTTTATGTTAGCTATTTTCGCGGCACAAATGGGCGTTTGCTCGTTTCGCGCGAATTACGGTTGAATCTGTCGTATTTCATGTTTCACTGGACGTCGTCAAATGAAGCGAAGAAATTCAGGCGTAAAGAGAAAAAATAAGGAGACAAAGGGAGAAACAAAAAGAAGACGATGAAAAGGGTATGACTACAGGAAGAGTCGAGGGAGAAGGAAAATTAGTTTGAGTCTTTGAAGAAGGAAAACAATGGAAGCTTCTCCGTGGCGCGGAAAGTAGATCTTCAATTTTTATCTCTCGTTTTTTCACTCTCCTTTCCCTTACAGCTTCACGGTGATGCCCGGCGGTATCGCGGTAACGCTTCATAAATAGTTTTAAATTACACCGGCTCGTAAATCAGTCTTCTAATAAGATTCCCCTTAAATCCGCTTTCCGTGCTGTTTTAAATGCTCTCGTTCCGCGGAAATTGCAGTCGCTATCGTTTCCTGATTGAAGCTTTTTTCCATTTTCCTCGGTCATTATCCGGAAATCATCTTTATTAACAATCGCGTTTAATGCGGCCAATTTGCTCGCGGTGATCCGATAATCAACGTTTGTCGCATGCACCAGCATAGATTAAGCGAGTCCATCGTACGTAGCATTTCTGGGACATTAGACGGCTCGTTAGACTCGATCGATCGAGGACCACGCGTTAGGGCGAAGGAGAGGTGCGTTGGAAAAATCGGAATTCTTAATCAACTTTCTTTCCCGATCTTCTTATTCTCGTCTCGCGAGTTGGCCAGACAAAGCCGCGGAAAAGAGAGAGGAAGAGGAGAAGTTATAGGAAATAATATATCAGCCGATGTCGTTATGGTCGCCGAATATTGAAGTTTCGCCCGCGAACCATTTCGCCTTGCCGCTCTACTGGCAGGCCCTTTCAGAAAACTATCGTAATACCTCATAGAACTTGGAAAATATTAGTTTTATAATAAAGTTCGAACAAACTTCCATTCTCTGCTCACCGTCTGAGCGAGGCCGCCATCTTAGCCAGGCTTCCAACGGTGCGGACGGGTCCGCACAGTCATTTCGTCGGAGGATTATTAATCTTCGAGGAAATCAAGCAGTCGTTTTGACGAGGAACTCTTCACAATGGCGTGTTCCGACGATTCTCGAGCAACGAACGAGGCCGCGACGTCGAAACTTTCGCCGACGATAAACGGCTCGTCCCGTAAGTTTCGCGGGTCGAATTAAAAATTCGATGTCCCGGGGGATGGCTCGCGAAAGTCCTGCTATTCCGGGAGCTGCCGCACCGATTACAGCCTGAAACGAGTTCCTCGGAGTTCTACGGCAGGGGAGTATCTCGCTGATCGAGCGAATTGCGACGTTTCTTACGCGAGCTGTAAACGACATTTGTAACGCGGGACGATAAATTCGAGAACTTTTATTCTTCCAATTTTTATACACCCGACAATATCTCTGATTAATTCGATCGGAGGCCACAAACCGTATCGCAGCGTTTCTTGCGACAACGTTTATGAACGACCCGCAGTATTTATAAGATCCAGCGATAAATTAGGAAAGTTTGCCTCCGTTTTTTATTTGTTCGCGAGTATTTCCAAAACACGTTCGTCGGTCTTTCAGCTCGTATTGTCTCGAATTCGTTTGCGTCGTAGGAAGTTTGCGTTGCAGCTTAACGAAGTCACGAAACAAGTCAATGTTCCAACGAGAGGAAGCAGTTCCCGATGGAAGACATCGATTACACTTAAGCTCGTTCGAAGTCGAACTCCGCTAGCGATATTCGATTAGGAGTACACGTGGAGCGTCCTTTGTGCCCGTGATTGAAGAACTCGTGTTTGTTTTCGCTAGCTATAGAGGGCATTTAAGCTCGATTCACTTGTCTCCGGGAATAGGGTCGTGTTATCAGAGTGCTTTGTCCGATCCCCGCAAAAAGACGTACCTTGAACGATAAACACCTTGCTTCGAGAAGAAAAGAAATCCACTTGCGTTGCTATCGACTTGTTCGATAATTGTTTTAGAAGCCGATATTTAGTCCCCTCGCTAAACGCAATGACTCGGAAAACACCCAATAAACCTACTCGATATCGTTACATTATCGAGTTCTCTCTCATCGAGTGACTAATTTCGAAACGTAGAAAGTTCGACGCGATTACGTGCAACGACCGCTCCTTTTAATTTTCAGCGCGTAAATTTTTCTGTAACGCGACTCGAGGTACGTGACGAGTTTGGTCAGGCTAGAATTATCGTAAATCTCGCGACTACGTCCTTCTCGACTTTCCTCGTTTCTTTTAGCCCCTGTTTAACCTGGTTTCGCAGCTGACGCTGCCTCAAACACCGGATCCCATCAAGAATTCCTTCAATTTGGCGAATATAATTTTCCCCGTCGTGGCATCCGTGTAACCCCGTTCATCCACAACGGCCTTGTTCGAATAGCGAATTAACGTCACTTACGACTCAACCGAGAGGGGCCGATTTCAGTTCCTTTCTCGCTTATTAAATAGCTGGCCCGTCGATCAATTGTATCGGAAGCGTCTCATTAATTTTGTCCCATTGAAACGAAACGGTGGAGCATTGTACGAAAAACCATTGACCCGTTTCACTGCGGTCGGATCAATGTAACGAGGAACAATGGGAACACAGATGACACTTATGAAAGTAACATCGACAATTTTCATCGATGCAACCTACCTACAAAAATCCTGTCGAGTATTCCTAGCTTGTTCAACGCATTCCGAATTCCCCTTCATTATTCTCCATCCATTGTTCAAATGTCGTATACCGCCAAGTATTCCGTTGCTTTTGCAACCAAGTATTTAACACCTCGAGTTTCGCATAGTTGTTGCAATGTTGGATGTCGTTTGATCAGATCTACGATCACCTATTATATCGTCGAGCGATGTTAAGAAATCCAGTTGGCGTTTCTGACAATCTCGGAATAAAATAATCAGCTGGAGACACTCTATTCAATTCCACGAAAGAAATTTCAAAACGACCATCGTTTCGCGAGTAATTCCGTAGGACGACACCAATCTGGCACGAACGAAGAAACACCGCGATTATCGAAAATACCCTGCGCTCCGAGCGGAGGATTTCCTTTGGAAGAGGAAGACGTATCGGGGTGGGGAGAAAGGACGGAAGACGCGGATAAAGCCGAATGCAAAGAAAAGGGAGGAGAAAAGAAGAAAGGGAAACAGGCGAACGTCCTGATCCTTGTCGGAAATCCCTGGGAGATTTGCCACTTCCATCAGCGAACCATTGCTTACACGATACCTGGTCCGGGTCAGCCGACTTAATTCCAGAAATTGTGCTATAGCTATGTTTATGGCAAGGAGTTCGAGCAGTGTCGGTTAATCGGCCATCGCGAAGATTACACGGAAAAGTTAATTACAAAGATACTGATTGGCTAGATCCTCCGGTGTCCCATTACCAGAGGAAAGACAAACCCGCGCTCAAAAGTCGTACGACACCTCCTAAAATTTCATACACGCGAGGTACACGATTTCACGCTCTCCGCGCTGAATAGTCTACCGAATTATCGGCAGACCCTCGTTCATCGAAGGGAAGAAATTTAAATCGGAAACTGCCACGTTATTCGAAGAATTTGTCGGACCGCGCAAGTCATCGCGAGGCCTCATAAATTTATTAATAGGAGATTTATATTCCGAC